AATAGGATAGTGGAGTATTCGAGTAAATGAGCGAATTGCCACGTGCAAATTCAAAATAAAGAGGGGCCACTTAATACTTATAGGCGTGTATGCCCCAGAAGAAGGAAGGAAAGAGGACACACGGACGTTTTATGACGATCTTCAAAAACAAATAAGCAAAATAAACAAAAACAATCATGTACTCGTCTGTAGCGATCTAAACGACAGGGTAGGTAACATTCCGATTCCGAGAGTTGTGGGGGTATTTGGAGAACATCACTTGAATAAAAACGGAGACGAACTTAGACAGTTTGCAGTCTTCAATAAGTTGAAAATTGCTAATACCCTTTCCAGGAAAAAAGAAATACACAAGTTCACCTGGAGTGCCAGAGGCCTCAGATCACTGATAGATTATGTAATCGCAAATGATAAAATTAGTAACCAAATAGAGAATGTACAAGTACACCGAGGATGTGATATATATTCAGACCACTACCTAGTGATTGCAACGATAGTAATGGTAGCAAAATGGAAGAAAATTAGACTAAAGAAAGATACAGGTCAGGAAATTTTCAAAGTGTACTTACTTGAACAAGAAAGCATAAAAAGACTAGATCAAATTCGACAATTTCTGTCAAGTGTTCCAACAGTTGATGATGTGGATAAGGAATGGCAGAATATAAAGTAATGCATAGAGAGGGCAACATATGAAACTTTAGGAAAGAAAAAAAGCATAAGAAAAGAAGGGGACTGAGAGTATGGAACGATTGTATTGCGAAAGCCATAAAAGATAAAGATATATCATATAAAAAATTCTTTCAAAACAAAACCCCAGAAGCTAAAGGAGAATATAAACAAAAAAGGAATAACGCTAAACAAATAATAAGATCTGCACATAATGACTCATGAGATTTATAAGTACTATCGAACATGATATACATGGAAGAAAAATGTTCGCGTACAAAGCGTTAAGACATTTAAATCAGACGGAGAAAGATGTTGCAGATATACGCATAAATCAATGAAAAACAATGAAGGAACACTATATAAACCTTGGGTGCTGAAGCTGTTGAACCTTTAGAGAAGGAGCTACGGCTACGACAATACTGTGGGATTCAGCTTCTGGGATTGAATTAAAGGCAAAAGCCTTGAACAGTATAAAAAAAACAGGAAGCATGTGGTCCTGATGAGTTAACAAAGCTCATTAAAATATGCCAGCCCCCTAAGCGAATTTAGACTCTTCATCTGTCAACGAATGCTGAAATTCTTATAAGACACCAAATAGCGGGAAAATAACAGAGGTCATATCTATCTTTTAAAAAAGGTAAAAGAAATGAATGTGCGAAAACTACAGCGGGTATCAGCCTCCAATGAACGCGCTTATAAGTATTTGCAAAAATTATCAACGCTTGATTGAAATATAGCAGAGGGCTAAATTACAAGAACCAATCTGGATTTCGGAAAGGAGCTTCTTGTTAACGACAACATTTTAGTCTTAAAGAATATTAGAAAAAACGACGAGAAGTAAATAAGGAAACCATATAGCCTTTATTGACTTCGAGAAAGCTTTTGATAGCGTGGGACACACACAAACTATGGAAAATAATTAAACGAAAGTGGCTATCCTGAACACCTCGTAAAAACCATCAAAATATGATTAAAGGAGACAAAAAACTATAATAAATACTGGCATAAAGAAGACTGAAGAAACCGTTAATAAATAGGGCGTTTAATTAAGTAGTGTAGTTTATCTCCAACAACTATTCAATATATATATATATAATATATATAATATATATATATATATATATATATATATATATATTGATGACCGTATTAAAATATGGAGATGCCATTAGCTAGTTTCTGGAATACAAGTTGAAGCAGAAATAAAATCTAAATGTTCTACTTTATGCAGATGACGTAACCAATACTGCAAGGAGTGAAGATGATCGCAAAAAGCTTGTATACACACTGCATCAACTTGGGAAGAAATGAGTATAATCTCCGAATAGCTAAAAAGAAGACTACAGTTATGCCCATTACGGTAAATATTTCCCATGCGCTCAAAAAGAGTATTGACCAACACAGTGATCGACCATCTTTCAGATTTAATTACCTTGGTTGTGACATCAGTTATGACACAAGAATTAAAGACCTAGAAAATAAAACTTAATAAATTTCAAATCAATATTGTGAAATAATAAATAGAACACTACAGAACAAAGCAAGGAAAGACACGAAAATGAATTTCTATTAGACAATGCCTGCTCCGTTCTTCCTGTATGGAAAGTGAATCGTGGCGGATAATGTAAAAAAGTAGACCAAAAGTAATTCCAAGCAGCAGAAATGAGATTTCTTAGAAAGTTAAAGGCTGCCATCAAACAAGACCAGATAAGAAATGAGACATTCGCTAAAGAACTAGATTATACACATAAATGAAAGGATCGTAGAAAAACAGAAGAATGCGCCCATATCGAAAGAATGGACGGGAAGATCGTAATCCACAATTAATGATGAACACCATCCAAGGAAGAAGAGATATCGGCCGACCCAGAAAGAGATGGTCCTGAAGTGCAAAGTGAAGGCGGAATAGGCATTCCTGTCTAATTTTTGAACTGGAGAAGAAGAGATTTTTCTTCAAAGAACATTTTTTATTCAATATATTCATAAAGTAATGTCGAGGTTTTACATATTAGTAGTTTTTGCGCACTTTTTTAGTGAAATATGGGGAATTTAAACTCTTGGTCTTCTCTTTGAAAATTGTGTCCGGATTGCGTTAAATGCACTGAATAGCAAGCCAAAAACGCAATTGTGATGTGTTCTTTGATTTTGTACACATGAATTATGCGTCGTCAATTACGTCTCTATAATCGTCGTTAATCTTTGACTGATAATGATCTGAACACACTCCAAATTCCTAGTTTTACTCTGAACGTTCGTATTGTAGAGTGAGGCAATCAAATAAGGGTCCTGCTTGCTTTTCAAAACAACAAGCTTGCTTTTCATCTACAGTCCTCTACCAAAGCGAGCTTTAGATAATTTCATTTTCTTAGACAATCTAGAGATAACTCTGAACAAAATTAGTAATCTACCTTTTAAATTCATTGTTATATGTGGTGATTTCAATATTTATATTCTGAGCTAATCCCACGAAAAAGAGCAGCTTTTCCGTTTACTGCATTCTTTTAATTTAGATGTTTCAGTGAATGTACCTACACGGAATACATTTAAATCACAAAAAGCAATATATCAAATTATAAAAACAAAACCACAATTAGATGTGAAATAAAAACTAATAATCAAAGTTACAGTGATAACAATGCACAGATTCTTACAGTTACTAATAATATCAACACTGACCCAATAAATAACACACGCGTGTGCAGAACAGTCACTGAAGTTAACATAAAATTATTTACGGACTACTTGCTCAAAGAATCAAAAGACAAAGTTTATAACGCTGTTGACACAAATGAAAAATATAATCTATTTTTCTCAAAGCTTTCATTTAACTCTAACGAATACTTTCCTCTCAAAAAGAGAAAATTAATTATTTCACGAAAAATAGTAGTTGGATCACAGAAGGAATTAGAACATCGTGTAAAAACAAACGCGTGCTTTACTTTATTTCTAAATATTTTCGTATCACCCTGTTTTCATTTCACATCCTAGAATACAAAAGAACTTCAAGGAAAGTAAAAGATCTGGCAAAAATAATGAAACTTAATCATGATAGTTTCAACACTACTCGTAGTAACAAAACTAAAGCAATGTGGAAAATTATAAAAAATACGACCACATCATCTCGATACTTAGTACAGAATGTTGTTTTAAAGAGTAATGAAAATAAAGTTAGTAATCCTGAAAAATTGCAAATCACTTCCACCAAAATTTTTCTATAATTGCGGCTCAACTCACAAAGGGACAAAAACCACAAAATTCAACATCATGAAATCCTGAGAATAGTCAGTAAACTAAAAAATAAACCACAAAATTCAACATCATGAAATCTTGAGAATAGTCAGTAAACTAAAAAATAAATATTCATCTGGTATAGATGAATTTCAGGAATGTTTATTGAAAATTTGTGTTCCTGCCATTATGCACCCGTTAACTGACATTATCAATGCTTCTTTATGCACAGTAATATTCAGATACTTTCAAAACAGCAAAACGTAGCCACTTTTTTAAAAAAAGGAGCAAAAATGAAATTCAAAGTTACCGACCAATTTCTCTTTTTGTCTGATTTCTCAAAAATACTAGGGAGGCTTTTCTATACCGAATAGAAACTTTTCTCAGGAAAAACGAAGCGTTTTCAGTCTCACAACAGGGATTTAGAAAATCAATATCTACGAAAACTGCCATTTTTTTCTTTTCTTAAAAATGTTGCTTCATTAATGAACCAAAATGAAGCACCCATTGGAATAAGTTTAGATCTTTCGAAAGCTTTTGACGTTATTGACCATAACATCTTGCTATCAAAATCACCTTCTGGGGGAAAAAGCATGTACTGTTTTAGCGCGACTAATTTACTTTGATTTTGATATTTTAAACTAACGTATCGATTTCAGGCGCTGAATAGTTTATCCAAGTAAAGTTCAAAGGTCAAGTCAAGTCCTGGTTATTGTGTGCTTTTGAGGATATTTGCGTAAGATCGTACACTTACTGTATTTTTTACGCATTTTTTAAAATATTTAATTTTACTATTTTAATGTAAGTATTAAATGTAACTGTTTTTAAATGTCTAGATTTGCAATGTTTATAATCTCGCTTTGCTGGTACTTTTATTCCTCACTCATCTATTTACAGTTAAATAGTGAGGAACAGATTCTGGAGCTCAAGAATATGTGCTCAGATTGTACTTATCCCACAGATAGATTTAGAGTTATTTGATGAAAATATATAAATGCCAAAACTACATCAAAATAAGCATTCAGTTAATTTGACTTTTATTTCTAAATTGGATGTTTCACCTATCTTCCCGAATTCGAATTGGTTAAATGTATAGCGAAAATTACTTCAGTTGAATCTGCAGATGAAGTGGGAGTATTTTGTAACACCTCGGTCAGCTTCATGAAAATCCTGTATGCGTGCACAAAGCTAAATGTCCTTTTTTATTTCGAAACATCCAGACGAATCAATATCCGAGCTCAATTCATCACTCCGACTCCATCCCGTCCAATTCGCTTCCCAGGATGACGTGGCATCGATCCGGATTCTACTATTTTCTTCTCCGTTGCAGCAGCCGGCTTCGTCCCTCGCATTGCCCAGGTCAGATACTGAAAATTAGAGACCGTGATTTTTTTGTTCACATTTAGAGTATTTTAAGCTATCCTCGCATGTTTTTCAGCAAATAACAGCACGATATACATCTGTAGCAAGAGTTTTAAACTTTCGCGAATCTTAGGCATCAGCAATGTAAAGAGATGAATACTGTCACGTTCAAGCCAGGCATTTTCTAAAAGCCATCAACTATTATGATTAATTGGCTAAGAAACCACCTCTTAGTCTCTAAAAAAATCAAAAATTTCACTTCTATTACCATAGTAAAAATTAAGGTCTTTCTGGCAGTTATTATTCAATTCATGAGAGTTAATTTAAGTTTGCCTCATTTCAGCTGCGAATTATCGTACATAAATTGCAAACAACCAGTTGCTGTAGATATGATCAGACGTATAAGCACTATTATTGACCTCAAATTCTTTATTGCAAAGATAGTTGCATTTCGTTTCATTATCTTGATATAGTAACATGAAGGGCTGTTTTGTACCCCACATGATTTTATATCACCGAAAATCAGATCCAGTAGTTGCCGGTAACTTCGTAAGTCATTATAATTTGGAAACAGTTAATAAGAAAAGAACTACAACAGTAGAAGTGCCAAATTTCTTATTTGAATAGATAGATAGTTAGAAATTCATTTATTTTTCACCAAGAATTACGTAAGTGTTGAAATGAAATTGTAAGTACTTTTATTGACCAATTTATCCTTTATCGCTAATGCTCATGTCAGCTTTTTCATATATTTACGTGTCTTTAACACCATTTTTTCCTATTTACTATAACATTGAAAACTTAAAATACATTTCTGATGATACCTAGAAGCTGCAATACCCAAAAAGGACTCCTTCTGAAGTTACCACAGTCTTTCGGAGTCGGTGAACGTGTGCCACTCCTGTGGTTGCAAGCGCCCGTTGCAAATCCTTTCCTTATCGAGTGGCCGTTCCCCTTCCAGAGCGAGCCTCGTCGCCTGCCCATATGGTCGGCGGAACAATTTGCTCCGCGGTCTCGTGCGCTCGCACTTCTCTTTTTCTCTTTGACATTGCGGACAGCGTAACGGCGCTGTCTGCCTGCAGCTGTTTCCACATCAGCCCACCCGCCACGCTCGTCCACCGCGCAGCCCGCCGAGCAGGTCGCTCAGTGGGCTTGGCGGTCTTCCACTTGGATGGCCGAGGTGGCTAAGAGAGTGAACCGACACAGTGTTTCGTTCCGAAATGTCGCGGGTTCGAGTTCCTTCTTGGGTATGGCTGTTTGTCCCTTAACTCTTTATGTAAAGAGATGTCGCGGAGGGTCTCGCGTTCACCTGACACCAGATCACTGGAGCCCGCTAGTGGGTTGATCGAATATGCGTCCCATCGGGAGGTATATTCCTGACGGCTAGATAAAAGCCCTAGAAAAAAAGCGCGAAATGGGTATTTATTTCATGGCCGAAATTAAATTTTTTAATAATAAAAAAATCAATCGAGACCAAGAAAAAAACATTTTGCTTACAAAATACAAAGGGAGGCGTGTCGTTATTTCGTACCTTTTTCGGCAAAATTCAACTTTGTCGGTTTCTGGCTGGTCTACATTAAATATTTTTAGAAATTTATCATTTAGGGCTGTTTTTCTAGGTTGTAAATCACTCGCTCAACGTTTAAAAATATGTTTTCAATGGTTTTATCAACGTGTTTTTAAATGGCCTTTGACGTACACATTTACCCAACACTACAGGGAAAATGTGTGCTGTGCTGGGGATTCCTAGTTGTTTTGCTGTTAGAGCAAATGTATACAAAAGAGCAGTTGAAAAGGAACAAAGCTGTAGAGGATTTTTTTGGAAGGGGCCGTGAAGATATTTTTTGCTGCTAATCTTTCGTCACGTTGGTACAATACACAATCAATAGGAAGCGATTTACCATAATTTCTCATTTTTTAAATGAGTACATATTTGCTTCAAAAACATTTTCCCCACTCCACCCAACAACATTTTTTCTACCTCTGTATAAAATTGTAATATTTAAAAAAGTTATATTTCACATTGTGATATTGGAGAGAGTTATGAAAGGTCAAAAATGTTTATAATTCGAAGTATAAAAACTTTTACAAATATGCAATAACCTTCTTGATCGATTGGGGCAATCTTGAAGAATGGTTTATAAAGTATAACAACAAAATATAAAATATCCTGACCTAAAACAAATTATGACATTAATACCACTTCCTGCTTCTGAGGGAAAAATCAAGAAGAGTCAATTGATAAAAATCATGTGTTTCATTAATTTCGGTAGAATTTACTTATCTCCCCAGAGGTTTGACCTTATCCATAAGATCGTAAGTCGTGTAGTAACTAGCTAACGTATCTGATAAGTTTCAAACGACGTGTAGAAATTGGTTAGACTATTTGACGAATAAAACTCACTAATTGAAAATATAGTAATAACAAAAATATAGTAAGTAAAATATAGTTAGAAATTACTGAATATGTTTCTTTCGTGGAGGGTTTTAGACGCGCTATTGCTTACAGCTGTGAAGTTCCTGGAAGTAATTTATATTACTAATTTTCAGTGCGTACAATGTTGCGTTACGCAAAGGACTGTTGTTTCCTATACTACATTAATGAAGCGTTCGTGAAGACTGTTTTTGTTGAAATAGATAATTTATTTCAACGTTGTATGAGCGAATTTTATTTGTTGCTTGTTACTTTGCGAAAAGTTATTTTGTACATTTTTTTCTCGGGAACATTTATTCTTGCATGTTATATTTCAATTTAGTTATTACGAATCATGATTTTCTTTGTTGATTTGTACTTACGGTTTTAGAGATGATTCTATTTGTCCCGGTACAATTCTTATATCATTGCACTTAATACAATTGTTCTTGCCCTTGCTCACCGATTTCAAACATATTCGATATATCTGTTGCAATGGGTTAAATAGTAAATTTATATGAAATAATATTAAACTTTTGCTTTTTCACCGCTAATCCAGCTCTAGTGTGCATTTATTTGTCCTTGTAGATATCTGATTTTGTTCTATTGAAGGAGTTTTTATAAAAGTTCTCTAGTTTGAAATAGTAGTGAGGAAGAAAATGGGAATTACTTGTAGTTTCTCAATGTGTTTCTGAGCCAAAAGCTTGAGTATTTGGCATATTTACGTGAGTTATGAGCATTCCATGTAAGGCATTTCGTGTAGACGAGCTTTTCTGTCCTTTTTTTGTTGAGTATTACATTGTTTATTTTTTAAATTTTATTTTCTTCCTCTTCAATTCTTCCAAGAATTTTTCAGGATATTTACCATAAATTTGGTAAGAGGCAAGATTCAAGCAGTTTACTTAAGATAACTTTTTTACCTTAATATAAATTTGATAAATATAATTCAGATATATAATAAATGTTTAATTAATTAAATAATAATGGAAATTTTGAATAAAATTAAATTTTTAAGGAGGATGACAAATGTCCTTGGGTAATCTAGAAAGAATTCCAATATTATTATAATTTGATCCTAAATTGAAATTTTGTTGAAGTAGGTAAACTTGGTAATATTCTGAAAAAAAAATTGAGATTTTTTTTGTAGGTTTTGAATTTTGTTCAAATCTGTGGAAGAAGCATGACACCAAATTGGGCAAGCCTAAGAGAAGGATGGATTAGAGATTTGTAAATTGAAATACTACAATATGTTTTCGGTTTGGTTTCATTTGTTTATTAGAGGAAATAATTTCGAAAGTTTATGATAAGATTTATTTATAAATATTAATTATATGAAGTTTTCCTGGTTAATTTTTGGTTTAATAAAGTTCTAAATATTTTACTAGAATATTTTCTCGAATCCAAGAAATTAGGTATACTTGATGATTAGAGGAGGTGATTGAGTCAATGTGAAATAACACAATCATTCGTACCGTAAGATCTAAATATCATCATTTGCCTCGTAAAATGCCAGATTATTAACGATTTCTTGCAACAGAAAAGGTGCGTCGATAATACTGAGTATAATTATGATGCACGTTTATAATAAAAAAATCCTTAATGAAATGAAAATAATTCAATTTTTTGGCCGATCCAGATAGCCCAGATCGCTAAGGCAGTGGTGCCGTGGCCATCTCGGAGAAAGTGTTGGCTGGGCTATCCGGGACGAGCCGCGTCAATGTCATGGTGGCTAACGTTTCGGCCAGCGTATTGTGGCCTTCTTCAGAGCGCACTGCGTTTGTGTGAGTCTGTACATGTTATTCTTCATTACCGTCATCATTCCATCTTCGATCCCCCAGGACTAGCAACTTTGGGGGATAAAAATCGGATTCAGCATAATGTGCTAATAATAGGAGACACTTACACTTGCCACGAGATAAATGTTACTGAGCCAGATGTATGTCCGCGTGGTCTTGGACGTTCAATTTGCTGCCTATGTATATATGTGGTATCTCTCTCTATCCCTTCTCTCTCTCTCTCTCCTCTTCTCTTCTCTCTCTCTTTCTCTCTCTCTTTTCTCTCTCTCTTCTCTCTCTCTCTTTCCTCTCTCTTTCTCTCTCTCTTTCTCTCTCTCTTCTCTCTCTCTCTTTCCTCTCCTCTTCTCTTTCTCTCTCTCGCTCTGCCTCTCTCCTCGCTCTCTCTCTCTTCTCTCCTCTCGCTCTTCTCGCTCTCTCTCTCTCGCTCTTCCTCTCTCTCTCGCTCTCTCTCGCTCTCTCGCTCTCTCTCTCTCGCTCTCTCTCTCTCGCTCTCTCTCTCTCGCTCTCTGCTGCTCTCTCTCTCGCTCTCTCTCTTCTCTCGTCTCTCTCTCTTCTACTCTCCTCGCTCTCTTCTCTCTCTCGCTCTCTCTCT